CATTTTTTTATTTCATCAAACTTAGAATGTTCCGGATTTCTGCGCATGCGCAAAGGGAAACCCATAGGTGTGAATTTCGCAAATGGACACTCGAAGAAATACGGTTACAGGTAAGCAACCTATATATATCATACCTTATCTTTAAATCAAATATGATAAGAGTAGAAAACCTGCATAAAATGTCACTGATTTTGTGGACTTCCAAGTAATTTATGACATACAATGACCCCAAAGTGACTTTGTCAGGGTGTTTTTGTCTGAACGATTTGTTCAGAGGGGTTTTGTCCTTGCCTTCCTTTGAGGCTGAGGGAATGTGACTTGCCCAAGGTCATATGGTGATTTTTCATGACCAAGAGGGAACTCACCCTGTGTCCTGATCGAGTGAGTCTGAAATTATCCTTATTTCTTAGTTCTATTTGTAAACATTGATATATTTACATTATTTGATTGTAACTGACTGGAGTTAAATGAATCTGTGGAAAATGCTCTGAGTGAAGCACATGCATTCAGGCATATTTTTTTCTACTCAGGGCCATTTAGGCTGGAATTTACCCTACGCAAGAGGTGAACTCCAGCAGAAAGTAAGCTTCCAGTGGGTTCAGTGGAGTTTACTCCCAAACAAATACAGATCAGGTTTCAGCCTGAATGTGAATTTCCAGGCTCACTGGGGCATGGCTTAAAAGACTGCTTTTGAACCAGCTTGCTTCACTGCCAGCTCTGTTGTCTTGTTTGAGATGGCTCTTACTAAGTGGCAGCTTCTATAAATTAATTGCTTAACTGCTGGAACAACCCTGTCCTTGTCTTCCCCGCAGAAAATGTGCAATCAGATCTGCTTCACAAGTACCAGAGTAAAGATGACATCCTGGTCTTAACAGTCCGCGTTGCTGTCATCGTTGCAGTTATACTCACAGTCCCAGTGTTGTTTTTCACTGTAAGTTATGTTTATAAATGTAGTTCAAGTTATTAGCTAGAAGCCTCATAGATAGATGTTGTCTTGTTGAGAGTTGGACTTCAGTCTAGGAGACACATTTTAGCAGGAATCCATTTTGGCTTGTCTGCTTTCATCTCCATCAGGAGTTGTGTTTTTATAAAGCTAATGTATCTTAACTTTCCTTCTGAGACAAGACCATCTCAGCATACTTTGTATAACAACAAGGATAGATTACAGCAATACAGGCAGTCCCTGAGTTACAAACATCCGACTTACAAATAACTAGTTAAGAACGGGGTGAGGCAACAGAAAGTGAGAGGAATCTACCCCTTGCAAAGGGAAATTCATTCCTGAAAGAATTATCATGGGAAAAGATGTCTGCACTGAAGCTTTATTCCCAATCCGTGTTTCCACAGCAAGCCAAATTTTTCAAAATCCAATTATCATAGGGACAGAAAGTGAGGCAAAATATTTTGAATAGGGGTACAGACAGCAAAACAAACACCACAAGGGTGTGAACCCTTTCCTATGCTATCCAAAGTTAAAAGATGTACGTACGTAGGTAGGTAGATTGTGTGTGTGTGTGTGTGTGGATATGGGCTGGTTACACTTTAAAATGAACCTATTTTTATTTGTGTACAAATTCAGCTTAAAAACAAACCTACTGAACCTATCTTGATTGTAGCTTGGGGACTGCCTATGTATATCAAAGAAGGGAATCCACATACATATGCTTGCACACATATAAGATCCTTGAGGATTTCAACTAAATTCAGAAGGAAAACTCTGACAGGATGACAGATAATATCATCATTTTCAGTCATCAAAACTGTTAAGTTTTTCCCATCTCTTTGCCCACTCATATCCTATTATACAGAAATCTGTATAATACAGAATAGCTTTCTTTATAACCTCAGTGTTCAGTTTTTTCAGTCAATGCACACTAATCTGATTCACACTTCTTCTTTACACCTGCTCACACTTTGCATTGTTCCTTCACACAACAATATGACAAATAATAATCAGCAAGAATAAACTGTCCAGAGTTTATGGTCTCCAAGATTATCTTCCAAAAGGCCAAGCTTGGTATAGGAATGTGGAAGTTCACCAGATAACATGCAAGATTTAGTTTCTATGAAGCTAACCATTCCACCCTTAATGGATACCATTCTACATCTTAGTGTGGGCTCAGATAGGCATTGGAAAGCAAAGAAAATTACATAGTTTGATGTAGCTAACCATTTCTATCCTTTCCCCTTTCTGTTTGATTCACTAGTATGATTTGCTAGGCTCTGTGAGAGAAAAGATGAGATTTCAACCCTGGCAGAAGAATAATTCATTCTGACACTAAAGCAAACAATGCTAACATAAAAAGCCTGCAGCTGCAATAAATAGCATCTGCTAGAAATACACACTTTTCTTCCCACACCCTCTTTCCACTTCACTCACAGTCACATACACTCTCCTGAATAACTTTGGGGCCAGAAAAAAAAATTAAGTGCAGTATACAGAGCCAGAGGGAGGGTAGAAATTGATGAGCAGGATAGCTTCTCTATGCAAATTTTGCCTGACAGATGTATCCTTCTTTTCCTACAGGTACGCTCTTCTATTTTTGAGCTCGCTAGGAAAACCAAATTTAACTTAGGCCATCACATTGTAGTCACTTTGATCCTTCTGATGATTATTAATCTGTTAGTCATTTTCATACCTTCCATGAAGGATATTTTTGGAGTTGTAGGTACAGTATTCTAATTACATTTCATTATTATATTTTTTCCTGTCTATTCTTGTCTATTATAACAAAATGAAAAAAAATGCATGTGTTTGGTTTTCACAGGGGTAACTTCTGCCAACATGCTGATCTTTATTCTCCCATCTTCACTCTATTTAAAAATCACCCACCAAGATGGCTCAAAACTGATTCAGAGGATTTGGGTAAGTTTTCTGAACTCGAACTTAAATTTAATTGTCAGTCCTAATTAGAATCAGTGAGAATTAGGTAAGTGTTCTTTCATCACTCATAAATTTATTCAAAAGGTATACTTGAATTGGGGTTAGTAATTAGACTCAGTCGCTAGAGGTTTCAGGCTTTACCATCACAATCTCCCCTAAAGTGTGAAAAACTGTACATTTTTTTAAATTAATAAAATATCAAAGAAAATATTTTCACCACCATAAAGAGCCCCGTGTGTGCCTCAGTACAGAAATTGAATTGCAGTATAAACTGCCATTCTAGATCATTTCAGTGAAGATGGGACAAATTCATGCTCGCAAAAATGTGTGTTGATATCTTAGAGGCCCCTTCCACACAGCTGAATAACATCCCACATTATCTGCTTTGAACTAAAATGTATGACAATGTGGACTTAGATAACCCAGTTCAAAGAAGAGATTGTGGGGTTTTCTGCCTTGATATTCTGAGTTGGAAGGACCCAGAGTCTTCTGTAAGTTAGAGATTAAAAGGGTAATAAAAAGTTTGGGTAATAAAAAGATGACATCTCCAAGTTCACTTGGGTTTGAAGTATTTGTACTACTGAAAAACCCGATTCCCAGGAGGTGTTCCTGACTATTGAGATATTATTTAGATGTAATAAAACTTGGTACAGGAATCTTGGAAAAACATTACCAGACTCTTCACTTTTTGTGCCCTGTGGAATCAATACCTCCTCACCACCTCCACCACCACATGTTTCATATCACATAATGCTTCACTCACAGAGTGAGCCCATGTCCACCACAGTTATCCAGTGGTAATTCCTGTTGGCTCTATCTACCTTGCAATCTTAAAATAAGGTGAGGGAAGTCTGACTCCTGTGAGTGATTGCATAGATGCAATCAGATGGGTGAGCAGGAATAATAATAATAATAATAATAATAATAATAATAATAATAATTATTATTATTATTATTATTATTATTATACATTTAGATGTCTTCCAATATTTGGAAAGTGGGGAGCAGGGCTAGTAGGGATGCAGGGATCACAATCATGTCCATTCCACATGATGTTAATTTCATGACTTCTAGCAGAGAGTACCTTCTGTCTTCAAATGGTATTTTAATTCAAGAAATAATATGAGTTTTAAAGGAAATGCCATCAAAGGCTTTAATCACAGAACATGATGCAGATCTTCATGAATAACTGGTAAAAATCCTGATTCTGAGCACATACCTGTCTTCTCCTGAGATATCTTGTTTGGTTTTGAAGTCTGTTATTGTTTTGTTTAAGTCTTTATCAAAGAAGTTCTGTTACCTGAAATATTCTGTAATTCTGTTTCTAGGCTTCTCTCTTTTTGGCACTGGGAATATTGTTTTCCCTGGTCAGCATTCCTCTTGTCATCTACGACTGGGTACACTCAGGAGACACTGCTGACTGAGGCCACTGAGACATTGAGAAGAAAACATGTATATTTTGCTACTCACCAAAATTGATCCAGCCCATTTGTCAGTATAAACCCATTCTTCATTTTTTGACATCAAAATACTAGCAGCCCATGTTTTCCTGCTGGAGACAGACACTTTACTGTAATGCTTCACTCAGTTTTCTGTTTCAGAAACTACTGGATCAGTAGTAAGTTTATGATTGTGGTTATTACAATTCTACATACTCACAAATTTGTTCATGAGTAATAGGTACTCTGTGTGTGGCTATTATTACAAAAATAATGGAAGTAGGATACTATACTTAGATTGAGTATCCTTTATCCAGAATTCAAAAATCCGTAAGTGTCCACATCAGTGGCTAGGATAGTGACAACTTTGCTTTCTAATTGTTCAGTGTACACAAACCTTGTGTATGCACAAGCTTGATTAAAAATTGTGTATAAAATTACCTTCAGGCTATGTTTACCAGATGTATATGAAACATAAATTAATTTTGGATTTAGACTTGGGTCCCATTCTAAAATATCTCATTGTGTACATGTAAATATTCCAAAATCCAAAAAAAAAAATCCAAAATACAACACTTCTGGTTCCAATCATTTTGAGACAAGGGATACTCAATCTGTTCTTGCAAGTTCATGCCTCAATTCATTTTCAGTTTAAAGATCAACTAGCCAGCCTTAATCAGATGTAGTTCTCAGTCCTTTTAGGTAACTTTGCATTTACCTAATTGTACTGGTATAGCAATGTGGTAAATTGATACATAACTTAGTAGTTGGTAACCAGTCAAATCTGGAAGCTTGTTGATATTGGTAAACAAAGCTTGTACACAATTTAGCCTTAGTAGTTCACCCTAAGGGAATCATCTTTGTATATTACATTTTGTATTAATCCGTGGAAGTTAATGCATATATATTACCTGGTGTTTTTCTTTTTCAGAAAAAGTTTATGGTTTATGTTTGAGTCAGAGTTTGGCAGTTAAGTTTTGGACTATAGCTCTCACGTTTCCTCAACCAGCGTGATCAGTGGCTCCTTACTAGCCAGTGAACAGAAGGTAGGGAATCCTGGGGAGTTATAGTTTTAAAAAAATAATATTTACAGACTGTGGATCAGAGAGACAATGATCAGAAAGGCTTTGGTCACATGAATTGCTATTAACTGCAGAATGCTGGAATCCAGCAGAAGCTGCAGTGTTGATAATGTCTTAAATTGTTGTAAGAAAAAAAGGATGGATTGCTTAGACCTTTGCTTCTCCAGCTGTTTTTAATGTTTCATAATTCCTTGCTGCTGACCATGCCATTTGGGGCATAAGCATCTGGAAAATCAAAGATCCATTGTTCCTGGATTAGACATTTCAAAGTTGGATTCAAAGTTGCTTCTACAAAGCAATGATTATGAAGCTGAATTAGCCGAAAAGCACAATACATAAGCATTCCATGCGTTTAAAAAGTAAACCATCTTGGAGAGATAGGGAGAGAAAATTAATTTACTGAAAAACAAGTGAGGAGGAACTTTTCATGCAGGCTACAGATAGGCAACAATTTTAAGTCCTAAAGCAGTACACGTATGACTGTGTACTAAAGCTAAGCCTAAATTAGTAAGGTTTCATAGAATTGGAAAGTTTGAATAGGCCACAAGGGCCTTGTAGTCTAAGCCCCTGCCATGTAGGAATGCACAACTAAGTACTGCTGAAAGATGACCATTTAACTTATGCTTAAGGATCCCAAATGATGGAGATTCTATCAGCCTTCAAGGCATGTAACTCCACTGTTGATCTGTTCCATCAGTAAAGAAGTTATTTCTAATGTTTAGGTGGAATCTCTTTTCTTATCATTTGAATCCATTGGTGTCTATCATAGTCCCTATAGCAGCAAAAATGAAGTTTTTTCATATTCTATGTGACATCACTCCAGATACTTAAACTATCTATTATGTCACTTCTCACCCTTCTCTTCTCCAAGTTAAACATGCCCATATCCCTCAGACATTCTTTGTGAAGCTTGATTTTCAGACTTTTGATACTCTTAACTGCCTTTCTCTAGACATATTTCAGCTCGTCAGTATCCTCTTTAACTGAACACAAAGGTGACTATGATTCTTCATGCCAGGGATCAAATCCCCATTCAGCCATGGAAACCCACTGGGTGACCTTAGTCACATCATACTCTCTGGGTTTCAGAGGAAGGCAAAGGCAAATGCTGCCAAGTAAACCTGTGGTAGCTTCACTGTAGGGTCTCCATAGGTAGGAAATGACTTTGAAGACACAAAACAATAACATTCCACATGTGGTCTGACCAGTGCAAACTTGAGTGGTGTTATTACTTTGCTTGATCTGGATATTATGCCCTTGATGATCAAGCCTAGAATTGCATTGGCTTTTCAGGATGGTGTATCACACTATTTAGTTTGTAGTATACTTAATTTGTTAGATCCTTTAAAACTCCCTATCTCCTTGACCATTGCTGTTTTTTCCTTTGGATTCATTCGGGGAGCAAACTTTTTTTCCGCTGCCCTGGAGACTAGGATGCAGAACAATGACTTCAAACTACAGCAAAGGAGATTCCACTTGAACATCAGGAAGAACTTCCTAACTGAGAGCTGTTCAGCAGTGGAACTCTCTGCCCCAGAGTGTGGTGGAGGCTCCTTCTTTGGAGGCTTTTAAACAGAGGCTGGATAGCCATCTGTCGGGGGTGCTTTGAATGCAATTTTCCTGCTTCTTGGCAGGTGGTTGGATGGCCTACAAGGTCTCTTCCAACTCTGTGAGTCTATTATTCTATATCCACCCTGTTTTCATTCTTCAAAATGATAAAAAGAGAGTTTTTTTTCCATATACCTGTCTGTACTCATTCACCATAATCCTAGAGCAGCCCTGTACAAATGGCCTTCCAGATGTTGGGCTCCAACTCTTGAGTCAGTGGTCAAGAATCCACAAAATCTGAAGAGCCACAGGCATATCCTAGTGCAGGCATATCCTAGAGCTTGGGGAAAAAAATCTTTTTTGGAATACTACTCCCAACATTCCTTACACAGCTAGTTGAATTCTGGAAATTAACTTTCCTAAGCTCTGATCAGTCTCCATTTTGACAACAGACTATGAAATATAGATTATTGTAATGCACTCCACATGAGAAACTTTAAGAATGGAATATTATTGCCTGACATGGGACAGTATAGCATGGGACAACACGATCTTGTGACATTAATCTTTACTGTTATTTGCTATCAAGCTGACTTCAACATATGGTGACCCTGTGAATGGGAGACTTCCAATATCCTCTACTGAGGTCTTACAAACTCAGAGCCATGACTTCCTTGATTGAATCAATCTACTTGTTGTGCAGTCTCCCACTTTGCCTACTGCTTTCTACTTTATCATCATTATCTCATGATATGTCCAAAATATTACAATCTCATTTTAGTCACCTTTGTGACCATTGTGAGACCACACTACACTGGTTGCTAGGTCATTTCTGAACATAATTCATAGTGGTGCTTTATACCTACAGTATAACATATATAAATTTAGTTATGCTGCCAATGAGTAATAGGAGTAGGGGAAGTTCCACACATCATGAACTGTTTGGGTTACACTGAGTTACATGGAAGCAAATGTCTTTTTTTTTCCTCAAAAGAAGCCTCCACCACCACAAGGAGAAGAATATGTAATCTTTTCTCCCCATTTGTGGCTTCATTTCGTAGGTCCTCTAGCTTATAACAGTCTGCCCACCACATTTGTGGTTCTGATTTTTGTGAATTTGATTATTCATGGATTTGATTAAAAGGTTGACTATTGAATTGTGGTGGAGATCTCTAGGAATCTTCTAGTGTAACTGTAGTCCATCAGAAGTTGCACATAGACTCATACTGGAGGACCTAGAGGTTCCCAGAGTGTTCCCAGGTGTTTTTTTCCTAGAATGTTCATAAAAATGCAGGTCCGAGATAAAATAGGCATAAAAGAAGAAATTTAACCTGTGTAAATTACATTGTGTACCTATCAACTCAATCATATGTCCTTTCTCAGCTCCACACATTGTTTTGAGTAAACATCTGTAATACAGAAAATTGAGATATGTGGTTTTCCTGTAGATTCCCATGACGCAGAGATTTGTTTTGGAACCAATCAAGAGAAAATAGCCACTGATATAGATTGTGTCCTTATGTATATTAACTCCCATTGAGTCGAGTTACTTGTAGGTAATTGTGCAGCTTAAGAATGCAGTCCAGACAATCAGCTAGTATAGTCAGCTATTTAGACTCAATAGGTAAGTTTCTGATGAAGTGGAATCAAACGAAACCAATTGCTTTGAAAGGTAGCCGAAACCTAATGCAATCGTCCCCACCCAGTGCCCTTCTTTTATTTTCAGCTACAGCTCCTGTCATCCATGCCTACTGGCCATACTGACTGGATTGATGGGAATGGTTTTCTGCAAACTTTGGAGGGTACTAGGTTAGAAAAGGCTTCTCTGCTGTTGGTTCACATTCTCATTGGGTTTAGCATCCAACTGCTTTAGCACCTGTTATCAAATACAGAGACCTTTTTTCTTCTTTTTATATAATGATTTATGGATCATTATTACTCATGTTTTGCAGTTACAAGTCTTTACTTTATCAAGTTCTGATTCTGGAACCATTAGTCATCCTGATACTCAGCCACTTGTATATTTTAAACCAAAATTTTCAGGGGCACCTGTACCTACTTAATGAGCTCCATTCAGTAACTATTTTGCCTCTTTGTGGAATGTGTACTATTTTGGAATGTCTTATTTATCACTTCTTCAAAGTGCTTTATCTGTATCGCATAGTTCATCTTCAAAATTGCTCTGTGAAGTAGATTGGTAATAGTTCCATTTACAGATGGACAGCTGAGGCCAAGAATGAAAATGACTTGCTTATTGCCAAGCAAGGAGTTGAATTCAGGTCTCCAGATTAAGTCTAGCAATGTGTCTGTTAAACAGTTTAAAAAATACATATATATACAGACAGTGGGTTGTTGTGAGTTTACCGGGATGTATGGCCATGTTCCAGAAGCATTCTCTCCTGGAAGATGGGTTTTATATATCTGTATCACAACGCTCTCTGGGCCATCCTCCAAAAAATCAGGTGCCCTGACAAATTTGTGAACATCCTGTGGCTCCTCCATGATGACATGATGGCAACAGTCTTGAACAGCAGTGGCTCCCAAAGTGACCCATTGAAGGTGGAATCGGGTATCAAACAGGGATGTGTTACTGCCCCAACCTTATTTTCCATCTTCATTGCTATGATACTTCATCTTGTTGATGGGAAGCTTCCCACTGCAGTGGAAATCGTCTATCTGACAGATGGCACGCTGTTTAACCTCAGCAGACTGAAAGCCAAAACCAAGGTCACAACAACATCTATTATAGAACTCCAATATGCTGATGGCAATGTCATCTCTGCACATTCAGAAGAAGACCTACAAGCCACTCTAAACACCTATGCAGAGGCATATGAGAAGCTCAGCCTCTCATTGAACATCGAGAAAACCAAAGTGCTCTTCCAGCAGTCATGAACCAACTCATCTACAATGCCAGAAATACAGCTTAATGATGTAACATTAGAAAATGTTGACTATTTCTGCTGCCTCGGCAGCTACCTCTCCACAAAAGTCAACATTGACACTGAAATACAACACCATCTAAGCTCTGCGAGTGCAGCATTTTCCCAAATGAAGCACAGAGTGTTTGAGGACCGGGACATCTGTAGGGATACCAAGGTGCTTGTTTATAAAGCTATTGTCCTCCCAACCCTGCTATACGCCTGTGAGACGTGGACTGTCTACAGACGTCACATGCAACTCCTGAAACAATTCCATCAGCGTTGCCTCCGAAAAATCCTGCAAATCTCTTGGGAAGACAAGTGGACAAATGTCAGCGTGCTGGAAGAAGCAAAGACCACCAGCATTGAAGTGGTGGTCCTCTGCCATCAACTACGCTGGACTGGCCATGTTGTCCAAATGCCCAATCACCATTTCCCAAAGCATTTGCTCTACTCCAAACTCAAGAATGAAAAATGGAATGTTGGAGGACAGGAAAAGAGATTTAAAGATGGACTCAAAGCCAACCTGAGAACAGGGAAATCCTGGCCCGTAAGTGCTCTAACTGGAGGTCAGCTGTGACCAGCAGTGCTGTAGAATTTGAAGAGGCATGAATGGAGGGCGAATGAGAGAAATGAGAGAAACTGCAAGAGGAAGGCGCATCAAGCCAACCCCCTACAGGGACCACCTTCCACCTGGAAACTGATGCCCTCACTGCGAGAGAACATGCAGGTCAAGAATAGGGCTCCCAGTCACCTATGTACCCATCGCCAGGACACCGAACTTGGAAGACAATCTTACTCAGACAACGAGGAATCGCCTTAGTAAGTAAAGCAATTTTCCTAGTTTCCATCAGACCTTACAACCTCTGAGGATGCCTGCCATAGATAGAGGTGAAACTTAAGGAGAGAATGCTTCTGGAACATGACCATACAGCCCGGGAAACTCACAACAACCCAGTCATTCCAGCCATGAAAGCCTACGACAATACAATATATAGACAGGTTCAAAGAATAGTAGGGGAAATTGTGTATGGATTTGATCTGACTTATGAAGCTTTGCACTAGATTTTTTTTTAAAAAACTAATGAGATAAAATAATTTACTTGGTGACTGTCTTAGGAGTCACTAAAATATTGTGGCACACTTCCAGATAAATTAGCAAATTATTTGTAATGAATATATAGCACACAAAGCATTGAGCACAGAAAAAGCACATCTCTAGGGTCATACAGGATTAATAGTAATGTTGTGAAAGTTCAGTGATAGCTAGGTCACATATATTTAAGAAATACAGAATTTCTTATGGTTATTTTTATATTCCAAACAAAATTATGGAGAGATTTCAAACAGAATAATTCAGAATTCTATCTACTTAGTTTTCTATGTTAATGTCAGTGTGCTGCTTCCCTGCACTTTCTCTGTGTCTAGGAGTGATGTTTTATTGCCTTAAAACAGCCTTTCCCAAACTGGTACATTACACTTCTCTTCCGCAACACAGTTGCTGGGAATGACATGAATTGTAATTTTAACACACCAAATGCATGCCAGGTTCAGGAAGGTTGCCTTAGGTGACTTTAAAGGATGAATCCATAAATACACGGAGGAGAGATCTATCAACAACTGTTAGCTTTGCTAAGTAACAGTTAACAATGGAAACACTTGAGTGCCCATGAGTACCAGTCCATTAATCACTAACTATGAATAGTGCTGCCACCATAGACTAGTTGTGGGCTCTCCTGACTCCTTTGGGGATGAATGATAAGAGGGCAACACCAGGCCCTCTTAACATCACATGTGAGTCACATGCGGACCTGATCACCATTGGATAGTGCTTCTAAAGAAACTGTGCAGTGAAAACTTTTTTCTCCTTTCTCTTCTGAAAGGAAAGGATATTGCCTGTCCTCTTCTCCAGGTCTCTATGGTGCTAAAGGATACTCAAATATCTTTTTGTACTGTAGAATATAATTGCTGTGATACTTGGTGAGTCCATCAAACAGAGTCACAATTTCATCAGCTGCTGTATGTTAGAAGTCATGCTACTGCTGTTGGAGCATGGAGTCTCATGTTGACATCCTTGGCCAAGAAATTTGATCAGGGATAGACAACTATGGACAGCTAGGAAGTTGGATTAGCCCCCCCCCCCAAGACTTTGGAGGACTGCAATCTCCACTTTACCTACCCCACAAAAAAAATCGAATATGTTTTGTTCCCTAAACACTTTTTAGGTGATGTGACATTATTCCCATTTTGTTTAGGGACTTTCTTTGACATTTGAGCCATTTTCATGTAAATTAAAATTTGTTTTCACCTTTGAGATCCAGAGATGGAAATACTTTTCTGGGGGAGGGGGGACTCTTTAGTGGTAATTTTGAAGCAAAGGGGGGTTTTTGAAGAAAAATTGTGACTTGTAGAGCTTTTCTAAAACAGACTGGAAGGTCCACATTTGGCCCATTGACCATACTTGGCCCATCCCTGGATTAGATGAACTGTTCGTTTTGCACAGCAGGATTCTTAGATTTTGACAGCGTGTCAAAGTCTTAAATCTGTTCTTTCCTATTAGGGCAGATGCATTAATTCTGTTGCTAGGATGATAAATCAGCATTTGTGTTAATCCCATTGATTCAGTGTATCTAGTAGTTGGAACCAGCTGTCTAATTCATGTTGAAGGTCACCCCTAAGCATTGCTTTATAGAACAAAAAGTGTACAGTTATTGTAAAGGATCCAAATACCTCTTCATTGCCTAACTTGGTAGGATGTCTGCTGGAGAAAAGCCACATTTTCTCACATACAAAACAGGAGAATTTTGCTTCAGATGAAGAAGAAATGAAGAACATGGGGGTTGGATCCAGTATCTTGGTTTGTCAGGGACAGAACTGGTTAACCGTTTGGCACCCAGTTTTACCAGCCCCTTTCTAAAGTGCCCCAGTTTTCTAATTCTCACTTTCTTCCATCATTCATTCTTTCATTGATGCAAGCTGAATTCAGAGTACAAAAGTAATTTGAACTCACTACCTCTGAGGATGCTTGCCATAGATGCAGGTGAAACGTCAGGAGAAATGCCTCAGTCTAGAACATGGCCCTATAGCCCGAAAAAACCCACAAGAACCTAGTAGTTTGAACTGTTGAATTAAACCAGCAAGAAGGAGAGAAGGAGCGTAGTTTTGGCCTTCCCATTAGGATCTCCTTCTCCCAAGATTTCCTAAACTCAATATATAATATATATAAACTCCTGGGCTTACTCACTTAAAATGGTGGTTTTATGCGCTCTTCCCCATTACTGACTTTTGTTGCTTGTCCTTGTGTATCTCAGTTTTCAGCTGGGGGAAGTGTTGGAGCATATGCTCTTCATCCCCTATGTATGAATTTGCACTTTTGCTTGAGCACCAAATACAATCTGGATGAAATTTAAGACTAGAATTTCTTTAGCTAGCTCTCCTTGGTCCTTCACTCTGAAGTCATTCTTATAAAACCCCAAAAGAATGTATCTGTTCAGATGGATTTTCTAAAAGATCCTCAAATCTTCTCTCTAAAATAAGTATCTCTGAAAGTGCTGCTTGGTGTCAGAAGTTATTACTTTGTGCATGTAGTGTGCACAGTTCTAAACTGAATGTTCGCATTGTTTCACAGTGTAATGCCTTCTGTTTTCAAATGTGAAGATGATAATGTTGAAGGACTTATTGATATTCCATACTTTGTATATAGATATATATATATATATATCCCTGGGACTGATTTTTGTTCACAGCAACAAAAAGAATCTATGCAGGTGTGTGGTACTGTAGGAAATGTTTCATTTGTGTTGTAAGCCACCCCGAATCCTTTCGGGGAGATGGGGCAGGGTATAAATAAAGTTATTATTGTGTATGTATGTATGTATATATATTTGTAAATAAATAGGATGCTTCTATTTTTGCAGTTGTGTATTCCATAAAAACAAAGGTGTTGAGTTAGTTCATCTGTAAGAATAATATAAAGTGTTTGCAGCCAGATCTGAATAGTAGCATTAACGCCTTAGCTTTTAACTTAATTACATCTGCCCTCTCCTTTTTTCCACTGTCGTGTACCATTTCACTCTGTAAGAAAGTTTCCTAGAGCAAATCGTAATGGTTCTGTAACTGCGTTGTTTATTGTAGCACATTTCTTAAGAGCACAATCCCATGAAATGCCAGAGCTTATTCCTAACTACAGTTGATTTATCTGTGTCATCAGGAAACAGCTTGTAATCCTTTTGCAGTGCCCTTTAACTAGAGCTTGGGAAACTGTGCATCGTTACTGGGGGTAGAAGGGCAATTGTCCAAGATCTGTCTTTAATGTTCTGTACTGTGATCCAGAGCTTTATGTGTGCCCAGTTGTGACCACAAACAATGAAAGCAACATTATAAGAAGCCAACTGTGTGGTTTATGTAGCCCAATGGTGTACTGACATTAAGTTCTCCAAACATTAGTTTTCCTCTGCTATGTGAGAACCTTGAATTGAAAAGGCTTACGATTGAACTTTATATATATATGTTCTGTCAGCAAGGTGTAGCTCATCTCCAGATGGTACAGCTCCATACAGAAAAGAAATAAACCAAGAGGTGATTTCTATACCAAGATGACTGATTATATACTGCTGGGTGTTCACTGGCTACTGTTGGTTCAAGCTGCTTTCCAAAAAGACTTGTACATATAAGCACATTTGAAATTGAGGTTTTTCAGTAACATTGCCTGAGGAAGCTATTGTATATCTGTGACAATGGGAATCAGTGCTAATCCTTCAATCTCTTTGGTTTTAGACTCATTCATTATAGTGTATCAAAAGTGAGCTATAGACAAGGAATAAGAGATAGTCATTCTGACAGTTTGCATTCACGAAGAAGTTATTTTTCTGCTTCTAGAGCAGTGGTTCTCAACCTGTGGGTCCCCAAGTATTTTGGTCTACAACTCTCAGAAATCCCAGCCAGTTTACCAGCTGTTAGGGAGTTGAAGGCCAAAACATCTGGGGATGCACAGATTGAGAACTACTATTCTAGAGGGAGGGCGTGATATGTATTCTTTACTGATAGGGGTTATCCTCTTTCCTATTCACTGTCAAGGAAATGTTCCCATATATAGAAATATAACAAACACCGTTCACAGAAATGTTAAGTGAGCACTGATAATTGCATTTTGTTTGGTCTTTTTGTAGAACAGACAATCCAGACCTTAAGTATTCAATGATAAAATATTTTGCCATGCTTTCAGTTACCTACTAAATTGGGCCTTACAGTAAAAACAATAATCCTGCTCAATTTTTTCATATTAATAATATTTTCCTAATTTGAAATATATCTGTTCAGATTTTTGAGGGTAATTTTTTGTGATTATGATGGAGAACTTGAAAGAGCTACAGTTTTAAGTATGAACATCAATTTCGGGGGGGGGGGGACTTAAACTGTTACTTTTCAAATTACTGTGTTATTTCTTCTTTCTGGTGCTGCAAACACTAAAACTGAATGTACTGAAAGAAATGTCATTGATTCTTAAGAAATGAACAGAATTTACACTTGTTTGGACTAAATCAGATTCTTGAAGTCTGAACCAATGTTAATATTTGCCTTATTTACCCACTCGTTTTTCAAAAAGAACTATTTGTAATTATGTTGTTGTCGCTCTGGCTTGTACGTTATCATTCCTTGTGTTTGTATTTAATGATATACATATAAATGATACTATATGTAAATAAAACAAGGTTCTGAATTCTGAAATTCCTGTTATATATATAGATTGGAAATGTGAAAAGTATGTCCTAATATCATAAGATTTATTTCTTCATGTTAAAGATAAGACAATTGGGTATGCTTGTTATGCGGCCAGTGCAATCCTAATTTAAAGTTGTGCCAGATATCAGGAGTTTAAGCTTAAAGTTATTTTCTGAAAGCAGTCTGCCAATAGAACGGCTGAAGAAGAAAGAAGATGAAGAAGTTAGGTCAGCACTGGGGTAGACCTAAATAATTTCCAATACAGACAGGCTGAGAGGAGTTTCAGATGGCTCTCAGATCATTCTTTTCACTCCTTAAATTGCAACTAGTGACCATAAGCAAGAACTTGGAGGTCAGATAAAGAGCTCCAGTCTTGAGGGATACAATAGCTGATTTTACATCCTCTCTCCCCACCAGTAAGGACATTTCTGCAGACCTTTTATTTCTGATACATGTTGAACATTGCTAAACCAGAATTCAAAACCCCCAAATATTCCAAAATCCAAAAATATCCACACTTCTGGTTTCAATGTTGCCAGACATTGTGTTATCCACAACATTATTAAAAATATTTTGTATAAAATTACTTTCAGGTTATGAATATAAGGTATCTATGAAACATAAATGAATTTTGTGTTTAGACATGGGTCCCATCTCCCAGAGATCTCATTATGTTCACATACACAAACACAGGAACTGGCCCCAAGCATTTCAGATAGGAGATACTCAACATGTAATAAGAGAAGGCAATCAAGGCAGTCACCAGTTCAACAAACTCCTGGGGGGGGGGGGGATTTATGACACCACTGGGACTGGTGTGTAAATTTTTTGTCATATTGCAAGCCATTGTTAGAAATGGGAGGGAAATTATAGAGGAGCCTGTCAGGACATTGGTTATATTACAGCCTGCAAATTCAGAATATGCCAACTTCAAAGATATCATTGTCCTATGAGTTGGCTAAAGTAGATTAGCAAGATGAGCAACCAATCACAGTATCACCTATCTACTTTAACATGGAAAGAGAAAAGGTGGAGTCACCATAATTGACAGGTGATTTGAAAACACATACATACAGAAGAGTTTAAATGTCTCTATGCTTTTGTGAAGAGTCTCAAATTATAAGTGATAACTTCCAAAAAGAAAAGACAGCTGAAACATACGACTTCTTCGTTACCAATAATCAACTATTGGATTCTCATGACTGAAGATGTAATTCTGATCTAAGATAAAAACAGCATCATGCCAAATGTACCAATGTACATGCCAAAATATTTTCCCATATCTATAACTGCATCACTGAAACAAAAACTGGTTTCTGTGCATGTTACATGGGTTTCCAAAAAAATCCATATGGAATTTGGCTTCTCACTTTTTCACAAAAGCGTCGATCACATTGACAGTTATGGAGACTGTCATTTTCGCAAAATGTATAGCCATCAAAAATGTCATCGTTTTATCTAAGCTTTTCAAAGGAGGGAAGGCTTGAAAGCATGAAATTCTCAATAATTTGGCCTTGTCTAATTGTGTTTACTCTCAGTAGGGTCGAGTCCCGCTTACCTCATCTATTTTAATTAGTGCAATGTGTCTGCTTAGAGCAGTTTCAACAGAACAGTGCCCTATTTTGCATGGTCATTGAGTTTCATCAGGACCCTAGTTCTCGGATTTTAATCACATACATTGATTCCATATGATCTTCCTTTGTGATGTTCACTTTTGACTTTTTGCTTCTCTAACAAACTTGCCAAGAAGCTCCATCTAATGCCAATATTTAATAGGAAGACTCAACATTTATTTTCTTTGCTTATTAAATTATATTACTTCATCTATGCTTCGTCTCAGCTCATATGAAAAGAACAGAACTGTCTTCTTTATTGTTTGCTTTTCCTGAATATTGATCCTAGTAAAAACAGCAAATCATTTATTTCTTTAACTGTTCATTTATTGTACTGCAAAGCAATCATGATTGGAGTATCCCCTGCATTGTTTTCTAAAAAATGGTTTCCATGGAAACAAATTTCTCTTGTTAGCTAAATGAGACTATACATTATCCCACTTAAATCTATGGCTGGCATAGTTGTTTGTACATTGTTGCTGTGCAGAGATATATACCATTGCATTCACATCTAGGAGAGCTGCGGCCTTTTCCATTACTTGTGTCAGGATTTCTGCTCAACATTGGCCTCTTCCGGTAGCCTATTTCTACATGTGTGACTAATGTTACTTAATCAGCGGGAATGAGTTTAACAATTGTATCTGTTGTGATACGCCTACTCATTCCATGGATCATTAGTTTCTTTGCTTGCTGGTTGTGACTTCTTTTCAAAAGGCAGCCACAATAGTTTTGTCCGTTGTAGTACTAGATAAAATGCTTGAGTACACAGTGTTCCCTGTTTGGAAACAAATTCTGGTTTTGTGTATATTGATATCACTGGAACAACTCTACGTACGTCATTATGTACGTCAGCTTGCATCCTTTCATTTCCATAAACATGGCAGCACAACACCAGGTAGGAAATGTCCGTGTGCCTATAAAAAGCTTCAGTTTGCCAAAAAGCATTGAAGGAGTATGTTGAATGTTTCCAATTCACACTCTACCATATACATTTGTTAGAACTTCATTGCACCTTATTAAGGGACCAAGCCAAGAAGTCCAGGTTCTTTAAATACTGCAGAATAGCATTTTCATCAGTACTATCTTTGTGGATGCAGAGGAATGGTCCAGAGATGTTTACAATTTGGCATCCAATTAAATGATATCTAATAGTTGGAAAACATTTCAAGAAACTGCTAACAAATGTTTATGGTTTATTATGATGAAAGAAAATGACAAGTCAACTTTTGGAGCTGAAATGCTTGAGGCATGGTCAAAAACAGGTCACTCCATGTGTGGACCATCTTTGGTTTGGTCTGTTTAGGAATAGGTTCACAGGAACTTAGTCTTCTGAGTAATTTCAAGCACATAATTCTGTGAATATCATAGAAATTGACAAGGGGTCTATAAGGAGTTTCTCTGAAAGGCTTTGCATCCAAACATCTGTCCCCAACATGTGCCATAGAGCACATTAGGATGGAAAAATCTGGAAGTGACGGGGGGGGGGGCTTGGGGAAAGATTTGAGGAGACCCCCATGAGAGTAAATATTTTTCCGTGTCCTGGAAGTGTCCCAGAACTGAAATAGGGGTCCTTGTGAGGGTATCGGGGGGACTTCTTGAGAACTAAAAAACAGTGCTCTAAATGCAAGTGGGATCCTATCTGCCCCAAACATTTATGTGCTGTCTTAAGATTATACTGCTCAAAAACAACAATAGTTTGCTCTTTAAATATAAATACATCTTCTGTATATGCAGAAGGCAATAATTAGAACCTGGCTTGATCTAATTAATTTTCTGCCATTTAATACAGTTAAAATGCCACTGGCACATCAGACTGGGTCAAAACTATCAGCCTGACACTCTTCTTAACAAGAACATCAGCACAAATGAGATATAAGTCATGAAAACTGGAGGGCATCAGGTTCTAATCTTTTATTATGTTTCAAAAATGGCCACAGATCTTTTACTTTTAGACTTTTAATATTATTAAATTTATGCCAGTCTGATTCCAGGCAACTTTAAAGAACATAAAACCCCATGTAGCTTAGGTCTAGCCCATAGCTTTGCGTACTACTGAGATCTCTTCTAAATCAATGGAAGACAAAGTTGTGTGTGTGTTTTAAATGTAGATGCTGGTTACAAAGTGTAAGGTACTAGCTTATGTTAATTGTACACCAATTCTAAATACACATGCCAGCATATCTCCCCTTGTTCCAGAGAAAAGCTTAAGAGTAATGTTATAACCTGTTACATTTTGCTGGAAAATCAGCTGGTCTATTTCATCCCAAGCATCTATTTGTTGGTACCTTGTTCTAAAGTTGATCCTAAAGCTATGGTCCATCAGTGTTCCCACCATTTGCCTTGGAACATATACAAATGATTAAAGTGAGAATTGCTGCCATCCAGTGGCAGTTTTGTTATAACAGAGGTTCCATGTTCTGGAGAATACAAAATCATGGTTTTAAGTACCACACAAGAATAAGGATATTTATTTTTCTGGTGAAGCCCTGGATCTCTCCATAGCCGTGGCAAATATCTGTTAGATCTCACTAAACCAAAATATTTCTCCATACAATTTTTACTTTGACTGATCCAACTACAAGTAACATTGGCTTACTGACAGTTTTAGATTATATGTTTTGCTAATTATGTTGTTTTTGATTCTGTTGTATGAAAGCTAATGAACCCTCATTTCATAATTAGAATGATTTCATCCTAAGATTAATTATTGTTGCCTCACAGTCTTACAGCCTTCTTCCCTTTTGTTCTTATATTCAGCGGGTGGTTCTCTTTTCTTCCCACACGTCCAATTCCAAATCACAATGCCACCCAAATTTGAAGTGAGTTGATTTGCAAATTGAATTTGACATGTTCATAATTCCTGACATAGATCCAGCTAATATTTCAACATTTTTCATCATGTTAGATGTCTGCCCCTAAGGGGACAGAGTAATGAATAAATGCATTGTGGCACATACTCATGCATGACTGATGGGAATTCCCGATCCGCTTTGCAATAAGTGGAACACAGTGCTTCACAAGGGGTTAACATACATTGCTTCCTTTCAAATGAGATAGCAAAGTGGTATATATAACATAAATCATAAATAAGTATTTCATATCCTGTTTCTTCAATGCCCTAAACACAGGAAAGCTTTACTTCACAGTAATTATTCATACTTAATAATAAGAGTGTGCTTTGTCTGGAGGGATTCACAGTTACATAGAAACAGGGATGTGGGCCATTATTAACTGAGTTACTGATAGAAAACATGTCTAGTTCATTCATTGATACCACAGAATCTGAGTTTCCTAAAACTGCAAAAGAAAAAAAACCTTTTCTGTCTCTTGAGATCAAAGAAAGATCTGTATCAGATCATTTCATAGTTTGCTATTTATTTTTCCCATGTGGCT